TTCTCTTGCTGGAGTCTGGCTGGCAACAGCCTGCCCTGACCTGAGACACCAGCCATTGTTAAGGGTATAACACATTTACATATTTTGCAATAAAACATCAGTTATTTGCATTACTGTGTCAAGTTTTATTTGATTCTTTCACCTAAAAATGACTCATTTTCCTTTCTTGTATTTTAAAAACCAACTACTCTAAGCTTGTTTGAGAATAATCAAAAATTGCCCATTTAGCTAGAAGTCATTTTCTTTTCAAAAGGCAAATGTTATTTAATCTTTCAGCTGTTCATTGTGCCATCATAAATACTTTCTTTTCAGCACAGTTGTGGGGACTGAAATGAGCCCACTAATTGCCTCCCATTTCGACTGACATGTGGTGGTTTAGTGGAAAGAGAACACAGCGGGGAGAAGGAAATAGGAGGCTGAGAAAATGAGAGCTAATTATTTTCACTGCCTCATGTCAGGCTCTGTGTCAGCCTTGTTTTTACAAACTGGAAGGTTTAGCACTAAATAAAACAAACTGGCGTCATGTTTTTATATACTGGCAGTGTCATGGAAGCAGCTGCACATCTCAAAGACAATATAATGCCTGCATTCGCATGGACACCATCTGACAGCCACTGTGAGCCACTGCTAATGAGGATATCACAGTGGTGCCAAGTGAAAGGTGCTGAATTATGTATGATTCTTCATCAGTGCAGCAATAGTCCTGTACATCATTATGAGACATTGTTTTGCTGAAGAGATTAAAACATTCTTAGTTCCAGACCCTGCAACCTATACACGCTACAAGAGGTTATTAATGGAATTTTTAGGGAGAGTTTCTTGTGGATTTCTTTTTGGTTAAAAATATCTCATGGGACAAAGCTGTGGTGGGTCATGACACTATATATATAAAGAAGAGAAGCAAATTAACCGTAATTGTGTTATCTTCCTTTAAATCCAGAATAATAAAATATAGTGTAGCAGGGTGATACATAATGATAAATAACCCAAGTGCTGTCACTAGATGTTCAACTCTAATGCCTTTAAAACAGCAGGTTTCAGCAGCTGAGATAGATAATAGCTAAGAATGTAAAGGAGCTTCTGGGGACCTAAATCATCAACATGCTACTACTTTTAGTACCAGCATGACCAACATTTTTTTCATATTTGTTTCATCTTGCATTACATCTTACTTTACTTCTAATATCCAGTTGCCTGCTACAATGCCGTTGCCTTTTTTTCTTCAGTCCTAAAAACAAACAAACAAACAAAAAAAAACCCCAAAAAAGACCCCCCCAAAAAACCCCAACAAAAAAAGAAGTTTATTTCAACCACTGATTTTAAAACAAATCCTGGATTTGGGCCTCCTGGAAAAATGAGATGCCTCCCCAGTGAGAGTTTTAAGCTGTTTTGCAGGAGACATGTTTGTTGTTTAAAGCCTGTGCCTGGTCCTTTTCATTTCCCTTTTGGTTTTTGTTGCAGACCTTAGCGCATATGGGGTTAAAGGAGTATTGTCACCACAGTAAGCTGGAGGCTTAATTTTTTAAGTGTTCTTATTTTCTGTTCAGAAGCTGAGGAGAAGTGGTTCCAAATACCTGTGTGATTTGCCCTTTTTTTTTGTTCTACAATCATTTGCAGAGACTGCTGATTTATTGGCTTTGTCAGAGGGTTATTCGCAAATGTTTTTTACACAAAGTTTTGCTGGTTGTGCTTCTCAGTTCTGAAACTAACTGTTGGGGTTTTTTTGTACAAAAACCTGGAATTCTTTATTTAAATCAAAATTGAGCAGGTAAATACTGAGAGAGAGTTTAATTCTTGAATTACAAGATGTCCAGGGAAATCCCTTTGAAGGACTTGTGTAAGTATATTTATCAACCAGGCATTTCGAACAAGCCATTTCCAGATTATTTTCCCCACATATATCTGGCACTAAATGTAGTTTCAATTCAGGAAATCTTATGGCTCTAATTCATCAAAGAATCAAAATTTGTATACTTGGGAATTCTAGCCAAATTTTTGCTAGAGTGACGGAGTCTCTCTCTCCTATTCGTTGCTAAATAAGAACCTAGAACTTGACTGCAAAACAGAGAAATATGTCTCTTTCTACACCACACAAATCTTGCAGTATTTGCTATGTGGTTAACAAAATAGTTACCAAGTTTGTAAGAGAAGTAGCCACCTCCTTATTTTAGATAAGTAATATCATAGATATTTTCCAGGTGACTTGATTCAGAAGTCACCTAGCTGCTGTCTTCTTCCTTTTCCTTTCTTCCTTCTCTCCTTCTGTCTTTTCTACCTTTTCTTTATCCCAGCCTCTCCTTCCCTTTCTCTTCTCTCTTTATTTCCCTGGGTTTTTTGTCTCCCTGTTTCTCTCTTTCCCCTTTCCACTGATGATTTCACAATAACACAAAATGAAAACCTGACATGTATTTTTGAGTGAGCAGAGAGGTTATGCTCAGTGTTGTAATTTGCCCTTTGGTATCTGCGTGGTGTGACTGGAGAGGACTCCAAGGAGGACCGAAGGTTTGGAGGCTGGATTTGCAGGGCGGGAGAGCGCATTTCTGCCTCTGAAGCGGCAGTTGGGAGTCGGGGAAGGCGGTGTTTGTGCAAGACTCCTGCATCCACAGCTGCGTGGGGCAGCCTGATTCGTTACCGCACGGAGAGGGCTCCTGCGTGTGCGGCACATCCGGAGAGGGGCCGGGCGCTGGCAGGTGCCCGCTGCCTGCCAGAGCCTGGGTTTACACAGCTTGCCAGCCTTTTCTTTAGAGATGGTCGGTCGGTCGGTTTACATCCTTTATTAAAATGAGCTCAGGTTTGTCAGATCGGGTCTGCAGGGAGATGTGAGCGAACCGCACAAAATTCTGAGCTGTGAAGGCACAGGAGCCCTGGCACGAGGTGTAGCTCAGGCTCTCGGGTGCATGGCACTGGTCTCATGGCAGGATATGTGCTGAATTAACTGGAGGATAGTATGTTAAGTCAATGCTTTGTTATTTCCTCGGCTCAGGTATTTTTGTAAAACTTATAAATGTCATCAAGCATCTTGTCTCTAACCTTGGGTTCAGTCTGCAATGGGGAATCCAAGTAGCATGAATTTAGGAAGCCTTGCAAAATTCTGGCGATAAGGACGATGTGGGCAGGGAGAGGAGCACAGTTTGAGAGGCAAGGAGGAGTCAAAGATAACTCGCTTTGCTGTTGCTGTTCAGTTACAGTTCTCAGACGATGTCGGGGCCAGTGGACCACGCTGTACCTACCTGCAAAGAGACAGGCGTAACCCTGGGTTAGCTCACAACCTGAAAAAGCAGCACAGAAAAAGGTCTTGCAAACAGATACAGGAAACAGAGGCACAGGGCAACTTCAGCGCCTTACCAGGTTTCACAGGAGGTGGATGGTGGAACTGGAAACTGAACTCGACACCTCTGAGTCTTGGTCTGGTGCTCTGACCGCTGGACCGCAGTTCCCATCACTCAAACTCTCACGGGGGCAATACAGAAACCAACTTATATGTCCACTCTGCTCGTAAAACATGGAAGCTTTCAATGGGGACAGATGGACACACAAGGCCAAATGCTTTCATAAGCATAATTTGTTTTTGCGGTTCGGAAGTGATTATACTCCAGTTTTCTTTTATCTTAGAATTGCCAATTCAATGCCTGATTGAAAGCTTTGAGACTTCTGAGGGCTGAGCTCCTACGTTACATTTATGAGAGATGCACGTGCAAACACTAGCAGATAATCGCATGTGCGAACGGATACTTTTTAGGCTGCTGTACATTTGTGTGTGCAAATAGCTGCTTACGCAAGCCCTTGGCCCTAGGCGGCCATCTGTGTCCCTCCCCATTGAAAGCTGCATTTTCTGAGCAGAGCTGGGGAGAAGACTGCCTCCCACAATTGCTGAGACCTGACCTGCCTAGCCAGTGGTACACAGTGGACACAGACCCTCCTGAGCCCCTGGCATGTCTGGAGGAGCTCCTGTCTCTGTGAAGGGCACATCCCCTCCTGCCTGCATGGAGGTGTAGACACTGCTTCACTGCAGCCCTGTTGTCCCTCAGGGTACTGATTTTTGGAGGAGCTCGGTGCACCAGACAGTATCTCATCCCCAAAGCACCTGCTGGGCACACCAGCAAATGTTGGCTGGTTTGCACCATGGACAGGTCATCTCCAGTCCCCAGTGGGAGGCTCCCTGGCAACAAGCACAATTCACGGTCCCAGCACTCAGCCCAGATGGGATGTCCTGCAGGATGCTGCCAGAGCCATCAGCTTCTGCAGGCTCACACCTGTGTGAAGTGTTGGATGTTGGCCCCATGTTCAGCTCATGGGATGATTTAAGGATACTTTTCATTGCTTTGGTTTATTAGTCACTATGATTATTTTCTAAGCTGAGCTTGCTTATAATTAATAGTGCAGCTGGAGGTGAGCAGAAGTTGAGGATGCTCAGTGCTCACTGGGCACTCAGTATCTGAAATAACTGAGCTGTAATAACCAGCTCATCCTCTTGCCTATTATTTGAGTGGCTGCCTTAAAGAGTTTCCTCGACCCTCTGGTCATCTGTTCTTGCGTTCACTGGGAAGGTGCCCTTGGGTCTGGCTGCTGGCACTGGCTGTGACCACACATGACAGTTCCCACCACTGCCCTCTGCCCCCACCAACGTTCATGTGTGCAGAGCTCCATGCAGGTGGGTGAAGCCACCATCCTCCTGGGGTCCCTCAGGGGATCCACACCTCTGAAGACATCTAGACCTGTCAACGTGGCAACTGTCTCTCAGGGTGAGCTAAGAGAAGAGTGAACAAGAGAACCTGAGTGTTTTCTATTATCAACACTATTTCTAGTATCAACATATTTAGGAAAATGTGCATATCCTAAAATATGTACATGTTTGTTATCTTTCTCTCTGGGTTATTTTTTTCCCCACGTATTGAGGATTAGGTTTTGGGTTGTTTTGGCTTTTGGTTTTGTTTCATTTTGCTGGGGGTTTTTTTTATTTGTATTCTAACAATCCAGCATTCTTTTTTTATTATTCATAGGATTGTAAATGGAAAATGTACATGGAGATGGACGGGGATGAAATTGCAATAACCTACATAAAAGATGTGACATTCAACACTAACCTACCTGATGTAGAGATTTTAAAGATGACAAAGGTATTTACAGCCTTAAAGCTTTCACACATTCACAGATCTCAAACAAAGACATTAAAATACCACAGCAGTCGACTTTTGTGCTTGCGGAAGCTCAATCTCTTGACAGCTTTTAAATAAAATGCACATTTTAAGCAGATTTGTATCATAATAGGAGTTAGGTATTTTGGTTCTCTTTTAAGCTGACAATAATGTTAACAATAGAAAAATAAGAGAAGGAACTAATTTATATTTTCTTCTTTTAATTCCATGTTATATCCTCTGAATTTATTACCCCTTTTAAAGAAAAGAATGTTCAAAAAATTACTTTCCTTTCAAAGAGAAGAAACTGATTTAAATGTTCCAGTTTGAAACTTCAAGTGATTTGTCTGGGTTTGGGTGTCCCCTCCCTTTCTTTTTTCTTTTTTTTTTTTAATATGATTTTAGAACTTTAACATGGTTCTAAAACTCCCTCTGTCATGCAACGATGGGCTGCAAAAACTGAAACCCCTCAGCAGACAGTACAGCACTGAACATCTGCAATTCAGTGTCACTGGGCATTTTACCTTATTTCAGAACCTGCCAGCAAACAGTTACCAGCCAGCACTTAGACTGCTTTTACCGTAAGCAACAGAGGCTTTGTTAATGCAGAGGGCATTCTGTTTGCTGTTATTTTAATTGTTTGTTCTTATTAATATGCTCCATTTGATAATAGCTCACAAAATAAATTTCTAAATGGAAAAATAAAGAGCTTGATTGCCAATTAGAACGCTGCTCTAATGTGCACTGATAAAAGCCCCCAAACTCCTGAATGCTTTTAACTGTGAGTATTTTGGCTAAATTTTGAGGGAACCTTTGTTTATTTTTTCCTAAAAGAAAAACTGAAAATCAGATCATCAACAGTCAGAATTTTAAGGAAAATGTGGTATGAGAGCATGAGAGTCAAAAAAGGATTCTCATATTTAATTCATGCTAATACTGTTTTTATAGTTAGTGATTTTTGGAACAGCACTTGTGATATTATTATTATTACTATTATTATTATAATTACTGTTACTATTATTTCCTGTTTAATTTTCATCTTGGACATTTTTTCCTTTTAGAAAAAAAAAAGGATTAAATAAACTAATAACCAGGTACAATAACATTAACTTTTCACATACTTTAACATTTTTATATCTATCAGGGAATATCTCCAAGAATCTCTAGATATTTGTGCTTGCTGGCCTCTCTAAGTTTAGCAGAATAAAATCTGTACATGCACAAAAATGAAAATGGTTTATGCCCTCGTGAAAACATTCCATGCTCTCTTACCTACTGTCTGTTATTTACAGAATTCTCTTCTCAGTTTGCTTTTGGAAACAAGGAAGTAAATAATTCCAAAATATCTTGCTTGTCTCGTAAGATTTTACGAAAAGTATTGATGTTAACAGTATGGAAATGGATGAAGAAAAGGCAAATGTTGAAAATATTTTTGGGATGTTTCAGAAACAAGTCAGGAGATGAAGAACACCTTATAAAACTCCCACCATGTTTTTTTCAGCCACCTTTTGTAATGGAGAAATGGATTGTGGGGATAGAAGAGCACCAGTCTGTGGAATGTGTTGTTACATACGAGGTAAGCTTTAATTAAAAAATTGTTTACCCAAGATAAAACCTACATGGGAGGTGTGGAAATAGCATCCTCTGGCTTTGTTCTAACCTATAATCAAGTCTCGGCAGCCTGTAATTAATTGTAAAATCTAAAGTTCAGAGCAAAAGCTGAATGAAGTTTACAGAGACAATGTCCTCAGACTGCTGCCTGGGACAGCTCTTTTTCTCAAGGGCGAAAACCCCTTTTGCTTGAAGTGTAATGGTCAATGTTGTTTGCATTACTGGAAAAGACTGTTTTTTACCTTTCCAATGAAGTGCTGATTAGGAGAGCAGAGAAACAACAGGAGTAGAAACAAAATGAGAAGTCAAGAGTAAAGTAAGATAAATAAACCTGGAAGACCATTTTATGTGACAGAAATTAGCCTTTTTAAAAAGAGTTTGCAGTTACTTACAAAAGTGTTTATAAAGTCCAATGCTGTGTGTTACAAGAAGGCTAATAATTGAGACTCCAGCTCTGTCCTGAGCAAAGGTTCAAGCAGTGATGGAGAGAAAGGACCTTGCTCACCTGTGTCAGAAGTGAAGAACAGTAGTTTTCTTTCAGCCTAAAATTTCTCATGGGATTCATAGGCCCTTAACAGCAAACTGAAGAGCTTGATACTCCAGTAAAGTATTGTGGAGGGTACCCCTACAAAAATACCTTTCTTTTAGCAGAAAGCACTGCCCATTTGACACTCACATTAATATAACTAGTAAAATATATTTTTGTGTTTGTAGAGGAAGGCCTTCAGATCTTTCCTCCACATGGTACATGAATTGAAAGTTATTCACTACCACATTTTTAGCATAATCACAAAATACCAGCCAAAATTATCTAGAGTCTAAAAATACTTGAGAACTGGCTAAGTGGTTTTGCAGAATAGACTCTATATGGAAAATGCTGCTGCCGCCCAGGCACTAGTGGAAGTTCCCTCATGGGATAGTTTAGTGGGTTATGTCCTTATGTGCATTATGTCCTCATGCATGTTGTGTCCTTCCCGAGCAGAGTGACGTTAGAGCTCCCAAATCCACCAGGCACATCCAATCTATCTGCTGGAGCAAGGGGAAAGCACAGGATGAGGTCGAGACAGTACAGCTCATGATACACACCTCACTCCCCAACTCAGAGGGGAATTCACGGAGCAGATCTGACTCAAGTAAGTCAGTAGACATGAACTTTATTGCTGGCACGGGCAAGGTGTAAGCAGCCTTAAATCCTGACACTTTTTCAACCCCTTCCTTGGGCTGGTTTTGGATCAACCTTTCAATCCCCTCCAGTAGAAGGTCACTGGGAGACGTGTTTCTGCCTACGGTCCAGGCTTCTTCCCCTCTCTGTTGGCACATGTGTACATGTCCACGGTAGCCTTTCTACAATGACAGGCCTGCTTTTCTCTAAAGTCTGTTTGTGAATGCTGCATCAGGGTATCAGTCAGCAAATCTGCCCTTCTCCTCCAAATCCACCCCTCCTCACCAAGACAAGAGCATGCTCAGCTTTGTGGAGGCAAGTGTACTGGCATAGCAAAAGGATTTGAATGGAATTGTAGCACCCACAGAAAGTATGCAGGGCCTGGGGTGAAGATGTGTTTCTCAACCAGGATATCAGGAAGGCATCTGCTGGGAAAGAAGACAATCTCACACATCTCTACTCTCTAACTGCTGGGAATATTGGAGTTTTCCACAGCTGTTTTGAGGATTTCGGAAGCCAGTGCTTTCAGCACATCTAAAATGGGTGCTCTTCTTCTTAAGCAATTGGGATCCACTTGCAACACAACTGTGATTTGTCATGCAAATGGGACCTAGAGCATGTCCTGAAAGATACATCTTCTCTGCAGATTACCTCTGTTGATGGAGGTTATCCTGGGTGGTTGGTTTCGGAGTGATGAGCCATACAGCCATACGGAACTGTGGTCTTGTACCTCCATAGGTTGGCTCTGCCACAGTAAGCTGGGCTGCTTTCATTTTTTTGTGGTGAGCAGAGGGAGAGCATTGGCACAAGGAGGAGTTATACAAAGACACTAATGTATTATCAGTACCCAGGTAAATAGGTACAGGTGTATTACCCGCCAGCGTGAAAGTTATGCATCAGCTCTAGCAAACTTCTTGTCCGGTCTTCTTTACCAGATCACCTTCCCCAGGTTTAAAACACCACCAAATCCAAGCACAAAGGTGAGGGTAATACCAATCCAAGAAGCTAAAATAACCAGCAGTGAAGGTACTACCTCTGTGGGCTGCCACATAGAGCATTTAGTTCAGTGCAGAGAGTTGGTGGCTCAGAGTTCATGAGGGAGATGCCCCCCAGGCCAAGAGAGGAAAGAGGCAACCCCATACGGCACACTGTGAGGTCCCTGCTTTTCCATGGCTGGTGACCGTGACTGGCCGTAAGGAGCTGGGACTGAGCAGCCTGAAGGCACTGAAGGAAGCCTCTCATTGATGGCAGTGTCAGCCCTGGTGGCCACCTGACAGTTAATAACAAATAAAGACCCAAACTCAAGTCCCTGAGCCTGTTGCTTCCAGGTTTATAAGGTCTGCATTTTACATCCACAACCTTAGTAGGAGGGCACAGGGGAATGGCAGAGGAGATGGTGTCTTGCAAATACATTTCAGCATGCATGTTTCTTTGGAAACCATGACTTTAAAAGAGGTTAAGAAGCAGAGAAGGCAATTCCCATCTGTCTTTCCATGAAAGGAGGTTCATCTCTCAGTGCAGCTGGAGGTATCTGCTGTGGCACTGTCACAAGAAAGACAGTTTCCTTTTGACGTATTTGACATTAAGTTGAAGTTATTTAAATCTCTTGGGATTGAAGCAAAGTCTGGGAAAGGAGGAATGGAAGAGACCATCCCTTACATCTGAACAGGAGCAATCTCTCTAGAGTAAAATCATTTAAGCAGCACCCCCCGTTTTTTGGCCAGAGCTGTGGCCTCGGATAAGATGAATTCCTGGTCTCTGCTCTGCCCATAAAGTAGCAAACCAGGCAGTCTTCAAAGTTCAAATGGAAAATTTACAACTATTGTATTTGCTAGAGGCTTTCATGCAAACCACAGGACTAACGTTCAAAAGCACTTCAGTCTGATCTCTGAGAGCTACAACTTTTGTTATGATCCCAGGGCTGTGACAATAGGTGTAAGGGAACTGTAATGCCCTGAGTTGCTCACAGTTAAGCACTGTCTGAGCTATACTGGCTGAAGCCAGTTGATTTTCTGTGTGAAGCCAGCTACAGTGATGTAGCTGCAGCTCAGACTCAGTATCTGAGGCATGCAAAGCGGATTGACTTCTGAGTTTGTAGTAACAACTGAAGGGGCTATGGTTGTTGTGGTGTATAGCAGTTTGAAGAGAAAGTAGTGAGAGGAGGTCAGTCTGGCTGCCACACCAGGGATTTGCACTAAGGGTCTTCACTGTCTCTATATCTGTCCTCAGAGGCAAACAGCATGACCGTGACTGCTGGGAGAGATGCAGCTGGAGGGTGATGCTGCAGCGGTGCTGGCACCTTGTGGTGCCCACTCCATGCCTGTTGCAGTGGTCTCCAGGCTGCTTTGCAATGAAAGCTGCAGAGAAATCTGCCAAGGCTGCCAGGAGCATCACAGGAAGTGTATAAAAACAGCTTGAGTTAAAAACACAGAGGCACCTGAGAGTGGGAACCTACTTGAACAGCCAAATGGATGGTTCAGTGCAGTGTCTTCTAGTCTAAGCTCCGTAATCTACACTGGCATCAGAAATTTTGTATCACTTGCTACGCTTGCTATTTTAAATTGTAGTATCATGGAATGGTTTTGTGTTGGAAGGGATGTTAAAGACCATCTAGTGCCAACTCCTTGCCATGGGCACAGACACCTTCCATGAGACCAGGTTGCTCAAATCCCCATCCAACCTGTCCTTGAACACTTCCAGGGATGAGGCATCCCCAACTTCCCTAGACAACGTATTCCAGTGTCTCACCACCCTCACAGTGGTTCTTCCTAATGTTTAATATAAATCTACCCTCTCAGTTTAAAACCATTACCCTTTGTCCTCCTTTTACTACATTAGAAGTCTAACATTATGTTCAACTGTAACACTGAACATACTGAAACCTAGGGCTATTTGCTGCAGGGCTGGGAGGGCAAGGGTGCTTTGAGACATGTTGAGGTTCTTCGGAGAGAAACCGTGGTACCTAACCTCACACCGTGGGTAAACCAGAGAGCAGTTTTCGGTCAGTTCACAGAAAGCTTACTCTATTTCCATTTCCCTGCCAGGCATCGACAGCCAGTGGATGCAGACGCTGCGGATGCACCAAATAGCGAAAGCCATTTCCCACCAGCATGGCCACCCCCACAGCCCGACCACCATCACCCACTACCTGCCCTACCTTCGCAGCCAGGACTCCTATGCCGCTGCCGTGAGGAGGACGCGTGGTCCCGTCAGTTACCAGTTCACATCCATCAGCCACTCCAGAAACTCCTCTCCCTTCTCACACAGTCTGATGAGAAACCTCTCGAATCTGCACCTGAACTCAAAAGGCAGCAGCACCTCCAGCACAGCCTCCGACACCGCTTCGGAGAGGGACAGGTCTGCCGGCAAAGGCAGAAACACGTCGCACGGTGCCAACTCCCGCAGCTCCTCGGATGGGAGGCGCAGTGGGACCAGCTCCCCAGTGCCCCGGCTCTCGGGGAGAGCCTATAGGACTTCCTCGCCAGCAACCCCGCCGTCCTCCCAGCAGCGCAGGTACTCCCGCAGCTCTCCCCAGCCCAAGGCCATCCCGGGCATGCCCCCGCAGGATGAGAGCGAGCCCAGAAGGGGCGAAGGGGAGAGCAGAGTCAGCGAGGGAGGGTGGATAAAGGTGCAGCACGGAAAGAAGTCCAACAGGCAGACTGCTGGAAAGCCAGGGAAGGAGAGGCCCAGGGGGAGCTGGCGGGGCCGGAGGACGTTCTAAGGGCAGAATTTGCCCCTTTATTTAACTGAATGTTCACCCTAGAGAAGATACACCCTATTTAATTTGTTGCGCCGAAGCCAGGACACCACCTTCCTTGCTGGCCAGCATGGCCTGGTACCTGCCAGTGGAAGGGGAGAGATGCCTGCCTCTCCTCCTGTCACAGTCAGCGACAAGGGATTTCACTTGATTTTTCTCCCCTCCGTTTGGCTGCTCGTGTTCTCAGGTGACTGGATATCCACTGTTTTTCTTAATATGTCAATAATAAAAATCAGTAAGGCACAGCAGGGTGCCATAATGAAAGGCTCTCTGTTTCATCCTTAGGGAAGGAGTTGTGCTGCTACATCTCCCCTAACCTTGATGATGTCTCCAGATAGTGAGTCAGGCTCCAAGTGGGGTCTCCTCACCCCTTGTTCAGTCTGTTTCTGCCAGGGCTATATGAAGAGGTGGTATTTTATCAGATCGGTGTAGTCTGAAAATACAGGAACGTAGGGTGATTTTTCTTCAGGTCCACTCCAATAGCTTTGTTTCTTCACTTCCAGTTTTCCATCGCCTCTCAGGAATTTCTCACCTTGCTCTTTACTAAAAGCCCCAACACCAGCTACGTGACACCACTGAGCACACTCTGCCACATACACAGTTGTCATAACCAGAAGGAGAAACAGAAGCTAGGCTTTATTCTCTTTGGGGGGAAAAAATAAAAATAGAGGGAGAAAAAGGCATTGCTTTTATCACAGTTACATCTAACCCCACTGAGGTCTACAATAATGTTTATCCCTCGGCAGCAGGCATTTTTTAATTGAATTTTTAAATGTGGCCAGACTGTGTCGCTTTTGTCTTTCAGTCTTCAGGTAGTAAAGACAAGGTCAGCGAAGTTTCTGATTAATGTGGTCTTTAGCTCCACCGAGAACAAAGACACAGCTGCAGACTCACTCGGCGTCAAGAAGTTTCTTCGTGGCCTTTTCACTCCAAGTTGATTTCACACAATTAAAAAGGGAAAAATAAAAAGGTTAGGGCTTCCCAAGATGCAAGAGGAGGAAAAAAAAGGAAGAAACAGATAAAGGAAGCTGAACCCAAAGCAACACATCATACCCACTGAAAGCCAAGAAACTGTAAATTAGACATGCCTTTGAACAAGGTGCTATATACCATCCATGCCAAGCAGTGGTCACTGGCACACAGTGGTGAGCGACGCCAGCATGTCAACCCCTCAATTACCCCAGTCACTATAGCCCTGGCACTGGACTTTCTAAAGGACATAAAAATTCCCTGCTCCACACAAAAGCCACTCCTGGGCGTACATGCAACTCTGCTCCCTCTGATTCCCACCAGCCCCAGTGAGGGCTGAGCCCCAGTGGTGCATTTCCCAATACCTACCAGAGTGAACTGGGACTCCCATTTCATTAATTCAGGACAAGGTCCATGAAAACCAGTGGAGCAGGACACAATGGATACCAGGTGTCAGGAACTGTGTTTCTGTCATTTAAACACCTTTTCCTCTAACAACAGCTAAGAGCAGAAAAAACAGTAGGACGCTTTACCTGGAAGTGAATGGGGCTGCGCGTGAAGCTCTGTGGTAACAAAGCTTGACGTGTTCTCGTGGCTTCAAATTGGTTGAAAGCTAGTTAGTAACCCAGCTTCTGGCCCTGGTGTACTGAACCTGCAAGTAATTTGGAGGACGTGGACAAGCAACTACTGGATGTTTCTCTGTCACAACTTTGCAGAAGACTGATGTTTTGTCTAGGTTGGGAATCCTTCCCTACCATTTCCTGCCGTGACCAAAACAGGCTGAAGGATACCAGCTGATGGTAACCACACCTGAGGGCACTTGTTAGAGACGTGCTTGTGTTACGAAGGTTTGGATATGCATCTCAGGAAGTGAGACCGCGGTGGGCCGGCACAGACCCTAGTAGAAACTGCAAGTTTTGAAGGGCTTTTGAAGGGCTCAGCTGACAGCTCACAGGGGGCGGCGCCAGGAGGGACGGCACCGCCCTGAGTGGGGAAAACACGCGCCAGGGAGCGAGGGCACGCTCTGGGAGCCCTGCTCGGGCTGCTCCGCGGTGGCA